TACATATATATACTCACACACAATCCACATATATATATGTATAATATACATATATTAATATATTCATATAAGTGTGTGTGCATACATGTACTTCCCAGGGTACTAGAGAGGTGGAGAAAGTTAGTAAATGGCACTGCATACAAAATTGCATAATGTGCTTGTAGTTTTTGCCCCTCAAATATGGACCCCTGAAAGGTATCCCAGATTCAAGGCATCTATTGTCACCATGTGTCAGTATCTATTCAAAATCACTTTTCATGAGCCCTCATGAATATTTTTCTCCTTTTATGAGATCAAACAAGAAGGTACACTAATTTGAAGAAAAAGGAATTGAATTAAAAAAACAATAAAATAAATAAGGAAAATCCTATCTCTACTCACGCACATTACCCTACCACCACCACCACCACTCACCACCAAGATTCCCACATCAACTATGGGAGAAGGAACTTGTGACTGGAACACTGCTAATAACTATCAGCCAGTTTAATGATATCAACTCCTGGGCCTCTTCCTGCACTCAACTGGAACTGCTGGTGTCATTTGCTGGGCCATTTTAATTCATTATACTTCTTTCTTCTGGTTTTCTGCTGCTGATTCTCCATTGCTACCATCTGCTGCCTATTCATTGAATTACAACTAGTATGTAACCTCTTCTTCAGGGAAATGCCCACCACAGTTCTTTTTCTAAAACTACTTCATAGCCTTATGGCTATTTCAGCTTTTTTGTGTATCAGACCAACAGCTGTAGACAGTCAGCAAAAAACACTTAGGTCAAGCCTATCTTTTGAACTTATTTGTTTTTACCTCAGTAACCACTCCCCAGGTCTCTGTACTGTTTAGGTATGGTTCAAAAATTTCCTTTCCACTCCCATCAATGCCTCTGACCAGCTGTACAATGTAAATTAACCTTGTGTGTTTCATTTAGCAAGACTGAAGAAGCAGGGTATAATTGGAAAGCTTGATTATGTTTTCCTAGAAGCATCAAAAAATCACTGCTCTCCCTCCTTGTCTTACTAGTTTATTTTGTACCAAGGATTCTTTTTTGTGTCATAGACTTCTTTGGCAGTCTGATGAAATTTATAAAACCCTCCTCAACAGAATGAATATAATGGCATATGTAAGATCACAAAGGCAACTGATTATATTGAAATATGCTTATCAAAATACTTTTTAAATAAATTCATGGACCCTAGGTTAAGGACCCCTGCTTCATACCATACCCAATATAGTGAGATGTGAAACAAGCTTAATAGCTGATATTTACACGGTATTTTATTAAACAGCTTCCTTTAGATTAGAACTACTTTATGAAATAGAATCATAGAATTAAAGAGGAAGGGAATCTTAGATATCACCTAATCTAACCCCTTCTTTTTACAGATGAAAAACCAAGGCCCAGAGAGATACCATGACTTGTCTAACAGGTAGTAAAGGATTGAGCCATACAGCCAGTTTACATATTGCAGATGAAGAACACGGTGATGATGACAAGCAACAACAAAAATGAGATATGGACCATGTCTGGGTATTTGTTTCCATAGAAAAAAGGTCTCTTTCATCTTCCCTGACATGCAGCTCTGTGGTTCAATAGATAGAACGTTAGGCCTGGAGGCAAGAAGACCTGAGTTCCAATTCAGCCTCAGATATTTACAAGCTGTGTGACTTTGGGCAAGTTAAATATCCTCTGTCTGCCTCACTTTCTTCGAACTGTAAAACTGGGATAATAATGGTACCTACCTCTTAAGGCTGTCGTAAGAATCAAATGAGATAATATTTGTAAAGAAGTTAGCACAATGCCTGGAACTTTGTACATGCTTATTTTCTTTCTAAGATGCCATCTATCCTAGAACCTATGATTCCATGATTCTGTAGTTGAAACAAGAATATTATCTGTGATTTCATAGGTATGAGTTCTGCCTCCACCAGTGCAGATTACTAACCTTCTGAGTCTTGGCAGTTGGTATCATGAATTATTCTGACCAAAAATAATCATTACCTGGTGTCTAGACTTCTGGGGATGAACCAGATGGATGAATTTTTCCAAACTTATCTAGGTTTATCCTTGGATGACAAATATGTACAGTTCTTTGTCTGGCCCAAACTCAGCTTTTTAGTCTTTAAAAAAGCCTTCCAAAGTTTATATTCTCCTGGCACAACTTTTATATGACCAAGGTCACCTCCATGCCACAATCACTTTCACGCCAAATCAAAGTAGGGCTTTTAATGTTTCTATAGATGTTCATAAACATACACTCAGATAAAACATGTGTTTTACTTCATTGATTCATTTAGCAATAAAGTTCACCAGCCTTGTGCTATGGCTAAAATTCTCCCTTCCCCATCCCTATTTCATTTTTAACAAATGTCTTCATGTCTTCGTATCTATTAGTGAATGAAGCTGCTATGTGCCTAATTAAAGCCATTCCTTTCCTGGTGCCTCAAGGTGTCTATATCCATACAATCTGTAATTTGGTAGGTTTAGACAAGTTTTTTAGACTTTTTGATGACAGGAATAATGGGAATGTCAGTTTTTATTGCTCATGGGTTAATCCTGCCAAGTATTCAAAGATGATACCTCTGTGCATATACGGGGTGGGAAAGGAAGGAAGAAAGGAGGTAATGTAAAGTTCTTCAGCAGCCATCTTTCACTTAGCACAATTCAAACCCCTGAAAATCTTTCACTAACCTCCAACACTAGTAGACATTGCTGACCATGATCCATATGCAGTGACAGAGCTGAGTAGAAGCACCACTCAAGCAATGGGAAATGAGATTGGGTTTGTGGGACACAGTTAAGCTAGATGTGCAGCAAGAGTGAGAGATCACTCTGCGAATTAACACTTGGCTCAGGGTATTGAAAATATCAGAAGCCCTCAACCTTCCCCTCCCAACCATCTTAACCTGCAAAAAAATCAAAGAGTTTAAAAAAAATCAATTAAATTCATTAATTGAATTATTAAATTCAATAATACCAAAGCACTGTTAGGTCATATGGGAAAAAACCAAGATGAATACCAAATGCCAATAGCCTTCAAAGGACTTAAAATTTAGTAGGAGAGATATAAAGTTCACAAGTAACTACAATACAAGGTAGAAATTTAGTAAGAACTACGAAGAAAGTACTTTAAGAGTTCAAAGGATGAAGAGATTACTTTGACGGGGAAACTCTCAAAAGTCATCACTAGGGAGGTTATACTGAGCCGGCATTTAAACAGACCCATAACTAGGGTAGGGTTAGAAGTGCTTTGTCCAAAGGGTGAAGAAATTTAGAAGACATTGATAGCATTTGCAATCCTTCAGCAGAGCAGAAAAAATCAAACTTAGATGAAAACAGGAACAATTAGTTAAAATAGGAAGAAACCAGGTGCTATTCAGGAGGCTGAATCCCATTATGCTGATGGCTGCCTGGCCCCTTCCCTGTGACAAACTTACCGGCAACACTTTTGATGGCATATTTCATGCTACTTGCCCCAGGTGAAAACATTTCTAGTTATTACTCTTCCCTAAAAGAGAGGAGGTGGGAAGGGAGGAAATATTCTGGATATAGAAGGCAAGAGGGAAGGCATAGAGACGGGAATGGGTAGAGCATGTTAGAAAATGAGTTGCCCAGTTTGACGGTATCATAGAGTATCTGAAGGAGAGGAGAAGGTACAGGGGAAATAAGACTGGAAAGATAGCTTGGGACATGTGACTGTGTGTGTGTGTGTGTGTGTGTGTGTGTGTGTGTGTGTGTGTAGGGAGGGGATCTTAAATAATTTTGGCTTCCGGCTTAGGGAAACCCTAGAGGGAGATAATAGCAGGTGTGTGGGTGGAGTAGGAAGCCTTAGCTGAAGAGTTGCAAATGCAAATGTAGTTGTCAAGGAAAGTTATAGAAAAAGCAGGCAAATTTTTTTAGAGAAAGCAAGGGTAGTGGGTGCTGGGATTGCCCTGTGAGGAGCTTCCTAAAGGAATTGAAGAGTCAAGGCTGTTAACCTCTAATAATTGGGTTTTCTATGGGGCTGTGAGGTTTACAAAACATTTTATATATTCTCATTTGAGCCTCACAACAATCTTTTGTGATAGATGAAATCTGTATCACTTCCCCCACCCCCATTTTACAGATGGGGGGAGACCACATAAAGAACCTTAAACTCAAAATGCTGAATTTAGAGTCACCAGACCAGAGTTTCCCTTATTACTTGTGTTATGTTGGCCAAGGCCCTTCTCTCTGGATCTCAGTTCCCTTTTCTATAAAATGGAGGGGAAATGAGAGTGAGCAATGTCTGAGGCAGGCTTCAAACCTTAGTCTCCTTGACTCCACATCTAGTGCTCTGTTCACTGCATGCAGTCTCCCAGATCAAGGAGCAGAGAAGTTGTAATTATAGTGGATGCTGCAGATTGGAGCTAAATGTCCTCCCTCTGGTAACGGCCAACCTCTCTGTTCTCTGAAAGTTGTGCTCAACACCAATTCTGGGTCAAAAAAAAAAAAAAGTAAGCCTAGCTCGGGCCCAAGCAGAACGTAACACTCACAAATTAAGCGGTGGGCAGGGGAACACTTCTCTGGGTAATGCCGAAACATGAGGGCATCTAGTAAGTCCTCATCAGCCTTACTGCCTGATGATAATAACAATAACATATAATAACAATCTCCCAGCCCAGGTCAGAGCAGAACACCAACAGCTCATCCCCAGCTCTGGCCAAAGGCAAACGCTTCTTTCAGTGTGACAAGACAGAGCTGCCAGAGTCACCAGCCCACTGAATTTCATGGTTTCAGTGGGTACCGCCACTAACCCGATTAAAGTCCCTCTGCTCTGTTATTCATTAAAGCTATTTTTAGAAGGCAAGATGACTTCTCTTTCCTGGGGGCTGAGAATCTCATGGTAATGTGGGGTGAAGGAGCAAGTGCACGGAGCTCAGTTTTCACCCAGGTGTAAAAATAGCACCAGAGAGATAGACAGGGAACAGTGACCCAGTCATCCCACTCCCACCCCCACCCCAATCTACTTTGCTCTTGTCACAGAACCAAGGAGGGATCTCATGCTGCGGCAGCTGCGACACTGGGGCGGCTGGGCTAACGAGACCGTTTCGTGCTGACACTCAGAGGCACCGGAGCTAAAGGAGAAGGCTATTATTTTGACCTAAGCTTGTTTCTTTCGTTTTGTGTGTGTATTTTTTTTTTTGCTACCTCCCAACCCCCCACCTCTTCTTCAGTTTAACTGGTGTGTCTACATTTTGGCCCTGGGGCTTTTTCTACATCTCTCCTCAGTAAAGACTCAGAGACAGTGACAGCTGGCAGCCCAGAAAGATATCCATGCCAATTACAAACCTCCAGACTTTTTTGGGGGTGGGGAGATTTATTTTTTCTTATACCTTTTTTCTTTTCATATTTTTCCTAACCAGCAGATTCTCCCACCCTGTCAATTCTCAAACAAATCACCCATTTTCAATTCCATTTTAAAATTTCTGCTCCCTTAGCAGAGGGTTTAGAGGAAGCAACAGGATGTGAGAACATGGTACAATGGAAAGAACATAGGTACTAGATTTGGAGTCAAAGGTCTTGGCTTCTAGTTCCATTTACCACATACAGGACCATTATCTTGCCTCAGTTTTGACCTCTCTCTGTGCTTCATTTTTCTTAACTGTTCAAAAAAGGGGTTGGATTAGATTGCCCCTAACATCCCTTCTGGATTTAAATCTATAATCCTAAAAAAAAAAAAAGGTATAAAACAAGGGTAATAAGGTGGGGTGGAACTGATTTTAAAAGGCAACTAACATAAATCCAATCCAATAAGCATTTATTTAGTGCCTCTTATGTGCAAAAACACTGTTTAGGTGCTGGGGGGGGGAAATGAATAAAAGTATATTGAGCAACTTAAGGATTTTACATTCTCCTTGGAGCATAAAACAGATAAACAAATATATGATAATTTGGGAAGGAGGGAGAGAATACTAACAACTAAGGAAATCATGAAAGGCTTCCAATAGAAAATGGCACATGAGCTAAATTTTGAATGTTGCTAAGTATTCTGAGAAGAAGAGATGAGGCCAGAGTTTACACAGCGAAGGGGGAGGGCCTGTGCAAACACACAGCAGTCAAAGATGTACTATTAAGTTCATGGAAAAGCCAGCAGGCCAATTGGGCTAGACCATAAAATGCAGTAAGGGTAGTGGTATGAAATAAATGGGATTGAAGAGAAAGCCAGATCTTGGAGTACCTTATATTCCTATTATTTTATATTAAATTAAATGAAGAGTTCCTAATGATTTTTAAGCATGGCAGTGATATAGTCAAATTTGTACCATAGAAAGATTATTTTGACAGGTCCTGAGCTAGAGGGATAGTTGTGTTAATGTGAAAAATGGAACATGTAAGAGATTTGTGGATATAGAATTGACAAGAGATGGTACATGATGTGAGGTGTGGGGGAAAAAAATGGAATCATCAAGATGATTCCTGCAGTGACCCTGGGTGACTGGAATGGGGCTATTGCCCTCAAATGTAATAAGGATATTTGGAGGAGAGGCAGTTTAGAGGAGAAAATAAGGAATTCAATTTTGGACATGGTAAACTGAGAATGCAAAGTGAGGTCAAAGCAAAAGTGATAGATTATAAGAACAAGGAGAGTTGTAATATCAGAGGTCATGGTAAGGCTGAAAAACAGGTTTAAGACAAGTAAGGTACAGGAAGAAATGGAAGAAATGGAGATTATGATCAGAGAAGGGAAATCAAGAGTTCAAAATAATGACATTGTACAGTGTTAGTTAATGGTAAGACTTAAGATATGACCATTCTTGTGAGTTGCTGAAACAGACTATATTATTTAGAAAAATTGATTAACTTGGAGGCCAGATTGCTGTAGGGGACAGATATTTAGATAGTTAGATGTTGTTCAGTCATTCAGTTGTGTCTGACTCTTCATAATCCCACATGGGATTTTCTTGGCAAAGATACTGGAGTGATTTGCCATTTCTTTCTACAGTGGATAAGGCAAAGAGTGATTAAGTAACTTGCCTAGGGTCACATAGCTACTAAGTGTCTGAGACCAGATTTGAATTCAGGTCTCCCTGACCCTAGGCCCAACATTCTACCCACTGAGCCATACGGCTACTGAGAGAGAGATTTTTAAATGGTAAATGTATATGTATTATTTGAGACATATATGCATAGACAGGGGACATCTATAGAGAGATAGAAATTTTAAAAATATATGTATGTATAGATATATAGACACATATATGGAATACATAGATATCTACAGAGAGATGATAGACATTTTAAAAATATATATGTATATGTATATATATATATATTGTGTGTGTGTGTGTGTATATATATATATATATATATATATATATATATATATATTATTATAATATATATATATATATTATAAATATATGTATGTATGTATACATACATAGGGATAGAGATGGATGGATGGATGGATATCAAAGAAAAGAAATGACCAGCAGGCCATTATAATTCCAACAACAAGTACCTGGACCAAGTGATAGAAGTGCAAACCTTGAAGTTTGAAGGTAGTGGGAGCATAGAGAGGTTCTAGACTTGTCAGTGGAGAGTTGGGACTATACCAACTCCTCCTCCTAGTTCAGGGTGTTGGAGGGAATGAGAGAAAATGCAGCTAATACTGAGACACAAAAAAGGTTAAAACTTATGCTTTTTCTATAAGTTGGTTCCCTTAGCCTTTCTAGGGCTTTCCTATTTACTGATATGAAGCTAAATGTTCAGCTGCCTTTGATCTGAAATTAGCAAATTACTACCAAAATCGTAATGCAAACAATAGTTATCCTTATCTAATGTTGTTCAGAAGAAAGTCTTATTTACATAACCTATAATCTAACCAGTTCTGGACCTTTTTCAGGCTCTGGTTCAATTGGGGGTGGGGAGGAGAGAGATTCTAAGTAGCATCGTATTTCTCAGTTTGCTTTTGTACTGAGCCAGGCCATCTGGATAGAAAACTGGGTACTTCTAAAGTTAGCTGAGATTGAGGTATTCAGTAGCTTACTATGCTTACAGACCTGGCACGGAGAAGCATTAAAACAATAAACATTTATTTGACAGGAAAATTAATAGCAAGCAACAGAAAACAATCTCTACACACATTTCCCAAGTAGGAACAATTGCATGCCTCTTCCATATATATGTGTGTGTGTGTGTGTGTGTGTGTGTGTGTGTGTGTGTGTGTGTGTGTGTGTGTGTATACACATATATAAATATATACACACACATATATATACATAAACATACATGTATGTGTATGTAAATGCGTATATACGTGTGTGTGTGTGTATGATCTTTAAAACAAGCACCTGTAAGAGTCACAGATCCAATATGAAGTGTATGGGTATGGTTTTTCTCTATACCTGAAATGAGGAGGATGGAGCCTTCCATTTGTAGTGTTGGTCGCCCTGCTTGAGAACTGTACCTAGGAATATTCATAGCTCTGTACTCACCACCTGAATGGTCACTGCCTTCTCTAATTAGCTTCATATTTAGGAACTATTTGACAAGAAAACTAAGGGGCAGAAGAAAGGGAGTGAAGCATTCCAGAAATGAAGGCAGGCTGTACAAAGAAATGGAGATGGGAAATGGAGTGTCATATTTAAAGAAATGCAAGTATACTACTGTAGCTGTGTGGATACCAGTGTATTAGAATGCTATTGCAGTGTTGTAGTTGAGAGGTGATGAGGACAAGAACTAGGGTTGTATAATTTACTAGCAAAGAGAAAAGGAGATGTTGGGAAGGTAAAAAAGCAATAGATTTGTCAAATGATTGGATATGGGGGTGATGAGTGAGAGAAAAGAATCAGAAAACAATCAGTTTGCAAGTCTGGGTGACTGGGTCAATGGTGAGGTCCTCAACAGTAATAAGGAAATAAAGAAAGAGGGTTTTGGAGAGGAAAAATAACAAATTCAGTTGAGCTCAATATTCCTATAGGGCATTCTATAGGAAATGTTCAAGATACAGTTGGAGCTATGTGACTGTTGCTCAGGAGATAGGCTAGGGTTGGATATGATCTGCTAAGCATCTGCATTAAAGATTATAGAACTGAACCCATGGGAGCTGATGAGGTCATCAAGTGAAGTTGTATAGAGTGAAAAGAGAAAAAGAAAAAGGACCCAGAATAGAGTTTTGGGAGACATTCATAGTTAGTGGACACTACATGAAGAACCAGCAAAGAAGAATGAAAAGAAACTATTGGACAGAGAAAAGGAGGATGAGGAGAGGACCTTGTATAAAAATCTAGAGGAGAGATTACTCAACAGGAGAGGGTGATCAATCACTTTCAGTATGGAATGCTGCAGAGTTCAGAGGATCAAGGATCGGAACAGGCCATTAGATTTGATAATTAAGATATAAGTGGTAACTATGGAAAGTGCAGTTAGAGTTAAATGATGAGATTGCAAAAGTTTGAGAGAGAGAGAGAGAGAGAGAGAGAGAGAGAGAGAGAGAGAGAGAGAGAGAGAGAGTGAAAGAAGAACTGGGAGCACAGATTGTAGATGACTTACTCAAGGAGGTTAGCATGAAGATATCAGATGGTATAGAAATGCCACTTCCAGTCACTTCTTTCCTCTTTCTTTCATCACTTTAGAGATAATGTAATGTAGTTTGGTCGAAAGGACACTGAGTTTGGAGCCAGAATACCTACCCTCTTTAGAGCTTGAAGAATTTCAGTGGGCAAGGGAACTCACTTCCTAGGGAAGCCACAATAAAACCATGTGTGAGAATGTATTGCTCTCAAGACTGATATCAATTCTTTGTCTCTTAGGAAGGGATTTGAAAGAGTTTAAGGGATGGAAAGGTTATGCCAACTAGGCTATAGCCCCTTAAAAGGAAGTCTAAAATTCCTCAGGTCATGGCATGAAAAGTGATAACAAAATCAGGCAACTGGACTCTTATAATTCATTAGATCATCTAATAATCTGTTAAGGATTTTCTGCTCTGATGAAATTGGAAGGTTTGGGGAAAGCCAAGACCAGCTTATATATACCTGGATTCAGGAAGACCTGGGTTCAAATCCTGCTTCAGATAATTAACTAGATGTGTAAGCCTGGCCAAGTCATTTAATCTCTCTGTA